GAAAGACAAAATAGTAATACAGAAGTGATCCCCTATTATATGCCCATTACTGTCATGTTTTGTATTAAACTTGCTTTTATAAAAGTAAGAATTAATAGATATTTTCACAAACAGGTCTCAATTGTTACAGGTGATTACAGAGTTCAGTAGGTTGATTATTACTGCAAAAAAAGCATTATCTGTTGATGAGAATAATACCTGATATTCTTATCTGTTAGGTGCTCATATTACCTATTAATAATTTATAAACTAACCTCATTATAAGGCTGTAATACATACTGTGACAGATTCCAGCACAGGTAGTGTTCAAGTACTAAGTTTCTCTGTGCAGCTAACCCCGGCTTCATGTATGTGTTAGATTTTATCATACACTGTTGCTGTTCTGGAGGGCTCCACTTCTTCCCAGGATGTGGTTATCAATAATCCATGTATTGCATTTGCCCATGCAGCAACTGATGCCTGTAGCAAAGGCTTACCTCTTGCTGTCTTGCTGGGAACAAGACCAAGTATTTGCTAACAGCCTTCAGAGTAAGCAGAGCTCTACACAGGTTTGTGGGTCAGTGGCCACCTCTGCTCTCATCCCCGTCTTTGAACTGGTACATTCAATCCACCTTTCACTGGAGCTCTCTCTAGTGCCTCAAGACACGGCTTCATCAGCACACTAAACCATGTTTCTCATCCCTGTCAGCCATGCTCTCAATAGGTGTATTTCACTAAAATGGCTACAACATCAAGTACTAAACCTACAAGCATAAGCACTTGCTGTAAAACGGCTGGAGAAATTGCCGAAGAAGGGCTGGGAGTGGTTCTTTTCCTGACTTGTATGTACAGAAGATGGAAAGCTCAGGGGAAAAGAAGTGGTTTATGGTCAACTCTGTAATCTTTCACAACAGTTACTTTCAGTGCTACCCAAATAGCAAGCCAACATCTATTTTACAAAATCCTTTGTACTTGAATGGCTTTTGCCAGCTCTGCCTCACAAGGTGGCACGCAAACACTGACAACTGTGAGCACCTCAGCACAGTGTCTGACTTGGTGAAAACTAATAGCAGAGCTAGAAGGAGCAGGTGGTTCACTCAAAGAGCAGCAGCATCAGGGAAAGAGCAGCAGAGCCATTCACTGTGCGCACATGCTTGTTAAAATTCAGCTTTTTGATTGCATGACAGCACACCTTTCCTTGGAGCCCCTTCAGACAAGAGATGCTCACAGGACATCCACGATGAGCAGCTGGTCTGGGCAGATTCTCAAGGCAAAAATCTGGGCTTCACTGAACCCACTGGCAAAGTTCATTTTGACTTTAGTGGAGCCAAGATTTTCCTGTCACCTTATCACTAAAACTCTTGGCTTTCAGCATTACTGCATATTTTCCTGGGAAGGTTTATGCATACCTAGGTCTGACAAAGGTATTTATGAGGAATAGTAATTATTCTGTTGTAGTAGTACCCTGGGACTTTAGCTGTGGACCCATGTGCATCATCAGTAGCAGCGTGAGGATGCATAATGAAGAGACAGGTTTGCTCTCTATTTATGTATGGTGCTCTTTACCTTATCCTCAGGCATTTACGCAAAGGAGTTTAAACTGAGGATTAAACACGAAGATGTGGATACAATCTCTGGTTCAGGATGTGCTGGTCTCCAGACTGTCAGAACCTGGTAAGAATTAATGTCTGTTGCTCTTTATCACCTTCCCTGGATATCCTCTATTGTCCCATATTCTGTATGAATATTCCTTCACTCTCAGTAATGCAGATTTTTCTGCCTGTGTTACACTGTGGGAGGCTCTGTCTGGAACATCAGCTCTGGTACGGCAAACAGATCTGAATCCTGCACCCTGACTGTAGGTGGACGGTTCTTTCTAAAGCACTTCTACAATGTGTGCCTTATTTTTTTGTAACTACAAATGGAGCTCTGCAGAAAAAGAATGAGAGTTTAAAAAGAATGATGCCATTTCTAACTTAGTGTTTCCACTCAGATGAATTTGATTTTCAGACATGTATTTTGGCCTAAAAGCAGCTAGAAATTGAACTGACTGTTAAAAATCTTACTCAAATTAAGCGAATAATTTCTCTCTTCCTCCTCACCCCCATATAATGATAAGTCATTTTCTAAATCTAATCCAATTGCTTTTCTATAAGCTAGTAAACAAAATCTAAACACAGAATATACCAGGAAGATGATGAGAAGGCAAGTGTATGTTATCATAACTTCCTAGCCTTCCCACTTGTATTTCCTCATAGTCTTGCAAGCATATGCAATGAGGCCAACCAACCAAAAGCTCTTAATAAACAGTAGAGGAAAATAAACCCTTCTTTTTTCCTAGAACCTGTGTGGGCTTTGCAAAGACATGGTTCATTAGAAGATAACTCCTTATCAGGGGTTACTTATCAGGCTGAGACAGGAGCACTTGGGTTTGTGTGGTAAAAGCACCTCAGGGTGTGGGGTCAAAACAAGGTGGAGAGCACACCCTTTGATGGATATTTAATTTCTGCTCTACCCTAAACACCAGCAATTAACACTCTTTCAGCTGAGAGGAGCAAATTCTGCAGCAGCTGCTGGTTCAAGTGCATGGTGAGAGCTGCTCCTGACAGGGCCACACAGCCTGGGGTCGTACACTCAGCTCTGCAGACTCCCACAGAGGAATAGGGATTGCCTGGCCAGAGGCTGCTCCAGCTGTGGTCCCAAGTGCAACCTGCTGTACACGGTACTGATGGCTGTTCGCCTTTCATTTGGGTATTATGCAGAGCATAAAAAGGATGAAGATCAAGAGCTTGCTTTTACCACACACACAGACACTAGTGTGAGATGGTGTGAAATGACTGCTGCAGCTTCTCATCACTATGAGTAGCAGGTATTGGTGTGGGTATCTTTGGTGCATGTGTTGTTCCTCACTGGCTAGGACTGAAGGCACATGGAAAAGAGCAGTCAGCTGAAGAACCAAAACCAGCAGAGTAGAGCTGAAGTCCTTTAAGATTTCTCTTCACTGATTCACTTCAATTCTGTCTCATAATGCATCGCTAAAATGACTCAGTGATTGCATAGTTCCTGACTTGTATAATTTCACATTTACCGTCCCAAATTAACTGGCACTAATTAAGAAAAAAAAACAACAACAAACAAACAAACAAAAAAAACAAAACCCCAAAACTCAATTTTCTTTCATAATGATTTCCTGTAGTTTTTTTCATCTGGTCTCCAATTTTAAATGAATGTTACTCCTAATTCCATGCTGTATCTACAGTGGTACAGGGAGATGTGCCCCAGAAACAACTCCTCCAGTGTCCAAAAGTGCTTGATAAATAATATCCAGGTTACATTGAAAATTATCTTCTACTGGCAGGGATTACATTTGTGGGAGGTACCTTCAGCACCTTGCAGTGATGTGCCTTGCTATCTACAGCTTATTGTGAAGGATTTAGGCCATGGATCTCAACAATGCTTTCATGACCTTTCTCACAGGTAACACCCATGGACTCTCAGCCATGAAGAGACTATTAACCATTTCTTTACTTGGTTATGAGTCTTCTAGTGTGGAGACAATGTGTTTAAAACAGTCTAAGACATTTCAAAGTATATAAAAGTTATAGACTACATTTTCTAATAGAACTGGGAAAGTATAATTTTAATCAGTTCTGTTTGATTATTCCAGTTGGCACAATGTGTAAAAAGGTATCACAAATTATTTTGAGAAATTAGCCAATTACAAAGAGCCATTTCCAGGGAGGAAATTTAGGGCATCTTACTAACGGCGTGATTTATACAGCAGTCCATATTTTAGCAGCATATCGTTTGATCACTTATATAAACTGGTTTCATTTCACTTGCTTTAAATACAGGAAAATTGTAAGTAGATAAGCAGCTCTATGAATAGCAGAACCAAGGAGCCTGGTTTCCTATGGATTTGAGGTGGTAGGAAGACCTCCTACATGGACCTTGTGACATCCTGCAAGGGGTAAGCAATCCTTATACCCTTTATTTTCCTCTGACTAGCCATCTGCTCTCACAAAATTTCACTACTGCAGTGTCTTTGGGACTAGTAATTTGGTGTTGAATTTGTCTGCAATTGGTCAACTTCTAAAGTTACTGATAAAAGAGACATGAAATGTGTGTGCATGCATGTGTGCACAGCTACAGACACACAAAGCATGACTGTGTAACTGTAATTCAGTTAGGAAAACATGCTCTTTAAAAACAGGTATAAACTGCTGTAACTCTACAGATTTTACCTGTTGTCCATTTTAAGAAACTGAAGAGCTAAAAAACAACTGATACCCTACTGTGATATGGTTTAATGAAGAAAATAAAAGATACTCCCTAAGGAAAGTAATTTTCTTATTTGTTGGAATGTATTTAGTTTCTCATATTTCTTACTGAACTTAACTTACTGCTTCAGCTTTCCAAAGAAAATCTCCTTTCCTACATTATTGCTAAGCTGAAACATAAATGACAGAAAACCAAGCGTTGACACTTTTCACATCAATGGCAGCAATGACATTTTTACCCGCTTATTTTAAAGCCTGGAGTCTATAACTCTGATCACAAATACAGCCCTGTTCAGTAAAGCCTAAGACACTCAATTGGATAAGAAAATCCGAGACTGTTGTTAGAACTTGCTGTTATTTTAATATTTTAAACTGACAGCATTTGAAAACCAACATGAAAGCTAAAATACAAATTCACCTGCCTTTCTGTGCCTTAGGCTATGTAATAGGTTCACACAAACAGCCAATTACAAATAATGTCATGTAGGACTTTGTAATGTAAAGCTCATAGGGAGATCACAGCAAATAGAAGTTTACATTAGGAAGCCTACACAGACACATCTTTACAACACAGAGGTATTTTGTTAGGAATATTCTCCTTCCAAGGCCTGAATGCTGTAGCAATACCCTACACACCTCCATAGCATCAGTGTCAGCTGCAAGCAGGCTGGCTCAGCAGGCAAAGCTAAGCAGACTGCACAAGTTCTGCATTACATGGTTTATTACTGCTTTTCCCTCTGCAGTACTGTTCATAGCCAGCGGCACAGAGCAGTAGGTGACTTGGAGTTTTCATTTGCAAGTGTTCTCTCAGAGACAACTACCAGCTGATTGCAATATTGATGCGGGTAGTGTGATTCTGGAATTTCACCAGCACTGCTCATAGAGCAGGGCTGCTGTGGAAGACTTGCTGTTGGAAAGGCTCTGCAAGCCAAGCTTCCCTCTGAAGCTCATGCAGAAAGCCACGTCTCAAGACTCCCAGCCACAAACTGATGAAGGTCTGTGTTAAAATGAATCTCTTTTCTTGCTCTTTCTCCCCCTCCATCCTGTCTAAGAGGCTGTCCTGCAAGTTCACTTGTCTGATGTTTCAGCACTTTCCTCAAACTGTGCTCAAGAGAAGGCTTCTTCACTCTCTGATTAAATCCATTTGTCCTTCTGCTAGCCCCAGCTTTTTGCTTAGAAAGCTTTTTTTACTCTCATGTTAACTCTACTTGTCTTAGTAGGAAACAGATACTCTTCTTGCTTTTGTTTTGATAAATAAGACAAACATTTTAATCTCTTCTCAGAAAACAAGCTGGCTTCACTATCATGATCATGCTAAAAGCTTTTTCTATACCTCTTCATTTTTCCTTAACTCAGGTGACCAGAAACACACCATAACCATTGCAGCTGGTCAAAGAATCTGTAATAGGCCCGCAAGGAGCTCAACTGAGCAATTCCCTCAGAAGCAAAGAGGGGTGAGATAGTCCATCTTTTCCTCCATTTGCTGATTATGAGTAGACTGGAAAATGGGGTTTAAATTGAAGTATGAAGAATTGAAGTTTGTGCTGTGATTTGGGATTACTGTAGATTATTCATGTCCCTTGGAAGTGTTCAGTAACTGCACTTTTATATTACTTAGATAACCCCTGTCTTACTCTGCTTCCCATTCATTCATACAAAGCAAATATGATACATTGCTATTTATTCTTTACATAGCGTTACAAAGCAAAGTTGATTCATTTTATGACAGAGGTCTTAAGATATTTAGATTCTGTTTGCTTTTCTTAGATTTATGTGATCATGCTGCTTGCTTCTCTGCTTTTAGTACAGTTATTAATGTTCCAAAGGTTTGGTTACATTCGGGTTACATTCATTTATTCAAACTTTAAAACATGTCCTGAAGAGAATTATTTATCAAAACAATAGTTTGTGTTCCTACAAAATGTAACTGCTCTCCTAAAAAAAAAAAAAAAACACCCACAAGAAAATCAAACCAACAACCAAATTTCATAGAAGAAAAATAAAGGAAAGTGATTAGGCAAAGGAAGATATTTGCACATCTTGCCATAAAGTCATTCCTGCTTACCTAACAAATGCCATTAGACTATTATTTTAGCAGTGCTAAGGCCACCACTCAAAATTATTTAAATTGCAGTTTTTAGCACTCAGCTACTCTGAAAATCAGGCCCTAAAAGGAACAAGTTGGTCATTGCATGTGAATGAACAGTTAAGAAAACATTTGCTTTAAGCGAGTTGGCTCAGACTATGAATCCACCCTGGAAGAGACAGGAAGAGAACGTGGGGTTTTGACTGACTGATCAAATGACTTGCTTGTGCTATCACCGAGTTTAAAGAACGACTCTGAAAGGTTATTTTCACTGAATTGCTGAGTACATAAAATGTGTTGAAAGAAAGGGTGAAACTTCTTGAAAGGGTTTAGAAATGGTTATATTTATAACCTGTTGTGGTAGGATTTTCAAGTCCAGTGTTCAGTGAACCTAGACTGACAAATTTATTACAGTTATAAGGCTGAGAAAACTATTAGAAGAAATACAATAGAAGGTGCATTTTTTTTGGTGAAGCTTTAATAGGAGCTGAAACAATTCCAACAAAAGACTAAATTTGGTAAGGGGGGAAAAGTCATTTATTAAATCTTTCTAAAAAGATTGAGTGACCTTTCTTTAAAAAGAATGGTCTTTTTTGTAAAAAATGAAAGACTCAACCTTTATAACAGCAACCTAGTAAAAGGCTATATTAGAAACTGGCTTCTTTTGCAAGTTTAGCTATTTTTATTGTCAATAAATGGTGTTATGCAATAACAGAAGCGCTGTTGCCTCTCTAATTTCTCTCAGGGATTGAAGAAATTCATAATAAAAGCATTCAAAAATCTAAACTGGAATAAAAAAATAGAACACTCAGGTTTGTACTGCAAGAGCCAGAGAGAGAAACGATGGGCTGAGAATTCAGTTCATAAGGAAACTGCCAGAACTGTGAAGGTGGTGTGATTTCTTCTACCTCTGCTTACAGTAAAAGTCAAGCTATTAATATCAGGCATCTTGACAGTCACATAAATGCATATATTAAAATTCAAAGTAATTTTTTGCTTCTGTAGATGTATAATCATTACAGAGTAAGAAAATTTAATGTAAGACCAGATGGCGATAGTATTACTTAGAGTGGATAAAAGTTAGAGGCTGACTTGTATACCCAGTGTAAATGGACTGAAGATGGTGTCTATCATCATCCCAGAGTAAGAGTGGACACAAAATTAAATAGTCCAGTCTGTTCAAAGCAGTGTGGGAAAGTGGTTGGAAGACTTTTCAAATGACTAGTACCTGCATGGGATTGGATTCACATGAACATTACCAGGCACTGGCTTGCTCTCAGTAAACTTGCTATGGTTTCAAACAGGAATCTCAGATCATGCCAAAGCTGACAGGCATTCTGCCCATGTGGTTGGAGAGATCAGTGTTGAGGAACTCAAATGAACCTCCGCTAGGGAGTGACAGGCAGAAGCTGTGGTTGGTTTTGAAGCAGATGATCACACAGTGATCGGGTACATAACTATAGGCAGTAATCTGAGGAAGACAGCTTCAAAAGGCTCCCTGCACAGCCTGTAGAGAAAGATACCTCTGGTCCCTCAGAGCACCTCCAAATGCTCAGCCTCAAGCCCTCCATCACTGTCAAGTACCTCCCTGCACTGACTAAGGAGGCAGCCTAGGAAAATAGGCTTTCTCATGTATAAATCATCTGATGTGACTCTCTCACTTAAGAACCAAAGGTGTATTCCTGTCCCTCTTGTTCACATGCATCCTCCTCTTGCTCTCAGGAGGAGTATGTTCTCACTGTGCAGCGGAAGACGGATGCAGTCTACGGAGGCAAGTGAAGTGCTGCTTATTAGATCAAAGCTAAGCATCTCTGTTCGACATACTTCAAACAGGAACTGAAGATGGTGGTTCTCCAAGTGGTTTTTATTGGGTTTCCTGTGTTCAGTTTAGGGAAAACAGACAACAGGAGTTGTTTAAAATAAAGCTGTAATTTACTATCCTAACATGCTGAGAAGCAATTAGATTCAGGCTAATTACTGTAAATAGTTTTTATAATTACTTGTAAAACATTCTAATACCTGTACATCTGCTAAAGTCAGTCAAGGCCTGTAGCAGTATTTTTTTTTAATAAGAGAAGGCTTAATGTTATTACTCAAGGGCTAAACTGTTTTCTTGAAATCTTCAGAAAGCAGTAGCTATGCTGTAGAAACTACTGCTAGAAAGCATCTATTAGGGCATGCATCCCCTTCACAAGACTGTGTGTATCAGTAAACTGAAGAGTTGTCTAGGCTAGTTTGTATTTCACAACTATCTCTACTACTACCTGGAAAGACTGTTCCAGAACCTAAAAAGATCTTTGTCAAAAGAAGAATCAAATAATTTTCAGCTGAATCCTGATTTTCTTAAGCTTTCTCCTATTATTAAGGCTTTTCTCTCTACGTGAAGTGTACAGAAAAAAATCTCTCCCTTATGTCCTTCTACCACAACCATTATTTTTCAGTTCAGCATTGGTCACTTTGGCCTGGCCCTTCACACTTTCACAGGCACACAAACCAGTTGGAGTTCCACCATCTCTGGGTCCTCACAGTCACAGCTGTTTTTTCCTCTTCCCACAGGTCTACCAACTCTTGTTCTGAATTTGACCCAATGGTCTCCAGTTTGGACAACTATTTCTGCACTGCTGATGAGTGCTCAGACAATCCTAGTCTGTTGTTTGGGTTTTGGTTCACCTGAGAAGGTCTCCTGATGTCTGGGGCAATTCCAAGAAGCACTCATGGATAGTTTACATTGGTTTATTTAAGCATACAGTAATGCATTGGCAACTTTTTTCAACAAAGGGTGATTTCCATACATGTACAAGTCTTTCTCACACAAAATATACATCTTACCTGTCAAATAACAAAACACAAATATAGGAATGTGTTGTTGGGTTGTCCTACCATTTATGAGCTTCATTTTAGCTCTAATCTTACTACACAGAGACAATTGATTGTAATCCTGCACATAGAATGGCATGGGACCTGATGACCATGAGGTTGAGAGCAAATCTGTATACTGGAATGTGAGGGGGAAGAGGAACTAGAAGTCCATTTTTTCACATGTTATTACCCTTCTCCTGCAGTGGAAGGATATTTCCTTGCACACCTTTACCTTTTTAGCTTGTTGTAACATAGAGCAGCTTCACACAGGTCTTGCACAGTTGATGATAGAAATGCTGCCGACCTCTTCTGCAGTTGATAGAAAAGCTTGTCAGAAGCCAAGGTGATGGCCACAAGCTGCTCTGATCACATTCCACAGCTCTCAGACTGTCCTGTTGGCCTCGTATATCTTACCAATGGTATCACTTCAGGAATGTTTATGAACAGATAGACTTTGGACCTCCAAGTGGATATTAAGCTACTACAGCAATAGAGGTGTACCTCCAGAAGGTAAGTGAAGAAAGAAGAAGAAAGCAAAGCATTAGTAAAAAAAAATTAATTTTTTTTTTTTAAGAAGTGTTGAAGTGGTTTCATAGAAAAACCTCATTTCTTACTGTTTTCCCTTTGAAATACTCCTGGTTTAAAATCCAGATACACAAAACCAGTCCATTTTTTCAAAACTGACATATGGCAAAAAGTGGTAGCAGTAAATAAAAGCACATAAAGCTAAACTGCACCGTTCTAAATGTTAGTAAAAATGACAAAATAAAATAGTAGCTATATAAACTACGCACAGGTGTGTAACATATTACAAGCAAAAAACATAGCTCGCAATTATAAACCTACACTATTTATTTCACTTGTCTGTAATTACATTTTATACATGTTTGTTTAGTAATATCAATCCAAGACATCATTTTGAGGATATAATTAACTGCATGTTAGAACAGAATGTGTTTGATTGGTTTGTGTTGCACCAGAGAAAAGGCTTTGTTAGCTGTATTTAAGTGCCACCTAGTGTTACAATCCACCCATTTCTCCCAGAAAACCGTTTTACTGAATTGCACGGTTAAGAAAAAACGAGGGTCACAATCTCAGTGCTAACAGGAAGTCCTTAATTCAGTTTAGGCACTCATGGAGTACCCAGTCTCACACATAACACTTCTGCTGCAGGCTGTGATCAAGTAACAGGGAGACCACACCAGTGTTAAAGTGTACATTTGGTCATAGCAGCACAATTAGGCAGTAAATACAGCTCTCAGGCTCTCACTCACAGTTTTTAAAATGTTTATACCAGTGATCCAACATGAAGATAACAGTATCTAATGAAGACACAGTATCTAGGGGGCAAGAAAGGGCTTTTTAGAAAGATAAGCTTTTTTTTTCTGTAAGATGCAGTGTAACTGGAAACTGTCAGGGAGGAGACACAGACAACACACATATTACAACAAAGTATGCTGCCATTAGGTCCCAGTGCATTCAGATATGCAAGAGAATGTCTTAAACAGGGGAAGCTGAAGTTAGATATAATGAAGAAGCTCTTTACTGTGAGGGTGGTGAGGCACTGGAATGGGTTGCCCAAGGAAGTGGTAAATGCTCCATCCCTGGCAGTGTTCAAGGCCAGGCTGGACAGATCCTTGGGTGACATGGTTTAGTGTGAGGTGTCCCTGCCCATGGCAGGGGGCTTGGAATCAGATGATCTTATGGTCCTTTCCAAACTATTCCATGATTCCCCATGTAAGTGCCTTCTATCTATAAATCTCTTTCCATGATGACTGTCACTGACATCATGTGCAGATACAAGGAGCCACCTATCCAAAGAGGCCTGCTGCTGAGGAGTTATGGCTGTTACTAGCAGTCTTTCAACAAAAATAAGTTGTTTAAAGCTTATATTGACAAATGCAGAACTGATCTAGGTTGGGTTGCTCTTCTAATGAAAAAAAAAGAACAATACTGAAAAAAACAATGCAGCGCTTATAGTTCATTAGCTATGAGTGTTTCATGCACTGTCAAATAAAGTGGTAATTAAGGATTGATGGTCTCCATCCTGTCTCTGTTTCAGCAACACTGAACAATTGATAGTATCTGTAGCTTAACTAAAGTGCTCTTTGCATTCTCCCTGCAAATGGCATATATAATGGTTTACGTAAAGCAAACTTCCATTTGTCTCTATTCTGTCTGAAATTCATTAAATGCTACACGAAAGAAGGATCACTGCTATTACAGAGAACTGGTGCAGCTCAAAGTAGGATATGCAAAACACTTAGGCTTCCCATTGAATTTAGCAAGACGGTAACCATTAGGTTCTCACACCATTAGGAATGAGGACTGGCTCCTACTTCATTTATTGGAAAGCCCTGTCTTTAAATCACAGTGGTAAAAAATAAAAATAGGATTTTAAGTACTATTTAACCTGACTGCTGCAATAAGCAGAGGTAAGCTGACAAGTACATCAAAGAACTTCTATTCAATTACACATCAAGAAGGGGATTAATATGGGTCTGTTACGGAAATATAAAATCAGAGAATAGCAAAAAAAAGAGAGAGAAAATAAAGAGCTGAAGAATCACAAGCAAAATCTTATTGTCAGTGTTAAGAAAGGCTCGTGATGAAGCATCTTAAACACAAGGATCAGAGAACATGTAGAAGGGAAACAGGGAAGACAAGCTTTCAGAGCAACCTTTAGAAATCACCTGCAGCTGCAATTGGGTGTAAATCAGACAACAATGACAATTAAGAAAAATGAACTTTCAGCTGGTATTTACTTAGAATTGTTTGGTTTAGGTTTTCTGTGAAGTACACACACAAAAAGTGGATTAATTGTGCCCTTTTTTCAGGACATTTTGATGAAAGTTTGACTATAATGGGTTAGAGTCAGCCTCTAACTCTTCAGCTTAGAGGCCTGGAATAAATTCTGCTCTTCAATACACAGAGGACAGGATCACACCATATGGTTTGGAAGCATCGTGGAGAATCTGCCTGGCATTCACAGCAAGCTCTCTGTGCCAAAACTATAACGTTGTGCCTTGTCCGGCAAAGCGACAATAGGCTTCTATAAGCTTCTACGTCCCTAGAGAACATGAACGGAATGGGAGGAGCAGATTCTGCAAAAGGCAATACTACCCCCTCAGCCCTTTGGAGTGGGTTCACTCCGCCATCTGGGCTGCAAAGTTCGTCCGAAGTATTGCCAAATGTCCCGTGTGTATGCGATCGGGGGGTTCGAGCGATGGATTTCACGGCGGCACAACACTCAAAGCGCTGCCACCCGCCGACGCCTCCCGTCCCGTTCGTCCCGTCCCGTTCGTCCCGTCCCGTCCCGTCCCGTCCCGCCTTGCCTCCCCGGCACAGACGCCCCCCTGGCAAGCCCTCACCCCTAACACTTGCTGTCCCCGCCACGGCTCCGCAGCCCGCCCCCAGCAATGATTGGTCCCTACCTCCTCCGCTCCTCCAATCACAGTGCAGAAGGCGGAACCTGACCTCGCTTGATTCTGCCTACTCAGACGCAACGGGGCCAATCAGCGCCTATGCCTAGGCTCCACCTTTCCGGCCGTCTCCATGGCAGCGGGGTTGGGGGGGAGAGGGGTGTGGGGAAGGTTTAAGGCGGTGCGGAGGCCATGGTGGGTGGTGGTTTTCCTTTTTGAAGCCGGCGAGGCTAAAGGTAAACTGTGTCTTCGTATTTATTTATTTATTTATTTATTTCTCTTGCCTGACTTCTCCTCCCTCCGTCCTACAGGATGGTACATTCTGGTGGACTCATAGGTTGGCCTCTCCCCCCCCCGTTCCTCCCAATGGTAGGGCTAAGGGCGGCTCCTGCGTGCCCCTTTGGGTCCGCTGGCCTGAAGCGGGAGCGTCCGTCGCGGCCCTCGATGCCTTCTGACGAGGCAGGGGCCCTGCCCGGCTTGCTCATGTCTTGGGCCGCTGCTTGTGAGGTGCCCGCCCTCTGGGCGGAGGATGCTCAACTGGCTGCTTCGTTACCGCTGCTGGGTGTAAGCTAGTCTCCCCTAAAGACAAGAAGTGGGTGCGGTTGTGCTCCCCATGCGCTAGTCTCCCGCTGCCAGTAAAGGTGTTGCCTGAAGAGTGGAAAATGGCGCCTGGGCTAGCAAACAGCGTCAAGTTCCCCAGCTGAGGGAAGGAGCGTGGAGGGAATGTGCTGCTTGCTAAGCGAGGGGAAGCATTAGTAATGGGCCAGTTGCATGGAAGTGCTCCTTAGACTGTGGCAAAACATAAATCCCTAGAAAATGGCTCTGCTGAGGTGCACGTGTGAATAACTTGCTTCAAAGTTACATGTGAATGTCTTAACAGAGCATGGCTTTTCCTAATCTTTTCCTATCTAAGGGATCTTAAAAGTTCTTCCACTCTTCACATAGCCAGTTTGTGATAAGTTCTTCCATCACTAAACACAACAACAATGCAGTCATCTCTGAGGTGGCCATAAAACACTTTAAGCCTTCTGTAAAGTGCTGTAGAATCTCAGTTTGTGTGCAGAGGGCATCTGAGTTCCTTCATAGCTCAATAAATCCCACGATAAGATGTAAGCAGTTTCAGGTGTGTTACAGTACTGGAGAGCTGAGCTCAAGAAGTTTTTGCTTAATTTTTCAAACACTCAAAACAAAAAGTGGCTTAGGAGATTGAAGTTATTTACTTCCATTGCGCCTGTACTTAAACGCTATGAACTGTGTCTGTGAGAGGCAGTTATAAATGATACTTACAGGTATAACTGTGTTTGGAGTAATGTGACAGCAGCTAGGAATCACTAATGTAAGCAGTAATACACAAATTATGCAGCACATAGTTTAAGTGCATGGATGTAAGCGTCTGAAACTTGGGAAAGCTTAATGCTAAAATATGACTCAAGTCATATTTCAGTTCTCATGAATTAGAACACAGTAAAATACTAAAACACACTGTGAACATTGGTAGCGTGCGTGTATTCAAATCAATGTTGCCATGTCTTGTGGCAGGTTTTGTGTAGATAGCTGATACATAAATATTGTGTGCAGCTTTATGACACGGAATTGTTTAATACTGAAAAGTGTATGTTCATGTATGCCTTTGGAAGATGTTAATTTCACTTGGTTTTGCTTTTATAGGGTGACAAATCTGGGGCAAATGACTGAAAATGTCATCCTATTTGGCTCAGGAGGTTCACCTTGCTAGAAGACATGAAGAGATGTAAGTAATTGCCTCACAGCAGTTTGTATTGTGGTCTTGGGCGACCTCCCTCACTGCACATGACTGTCGTGTGAACAGTGAATCCAAGCTCTAAACAGAGCGCAGTGGTATTTCAACAAGGGGTTCGTGTTCCAGGAGGTGGCACTCTTCCTTCATGAACTATTGGAATTAGCATACTTGCCTTTGAGGGTATTTAGATTGATGAGGTGTTTGACTCCCAGTGGTGGTACTGGCTTAAGATTTCCATTGTTAACCTCCTGTCATCGTTAAATTCCTGTTTGGGGAAGGTAATTGGATTCTGTCACTCTATGCTTCAGTTATAGAACTGCTTCTTTGTTGCCCTGTAAACTCAGATAGGGAAGCAAATACAGTAATGATTCAGAAAAATCTGCTCTTGTAACAAATAGTACTTGCCAATGAGCAAGAGTAGTACTGATCAAGTCACCCCAACCCACCCTGTCTTTCCTGTTCTGGGAGATTCAGTGCTTCTAAGCACCTTTAGCATATGAGGACTGCTGGTTGCAACTTTATAGCTTCATACAAGCACAGCAGGTGATGCCTGCCTTGTACCTTTTCCCTCCCCCAGCACACCCACCCTACAGCTGGCTTAATTAGCCCCATAGTTTAGAGAAAACTGGGTAAGGTAAAAAGGTTATTTTCTAGCTCCTGAGCAAAATGTTCTACCCACTTAGCAAAATGTTTTCCTTTGTAGACTGTCTCAGAGATCAGAACTGCTACAGCAGATGGAGACTTATCTAGGAGACAAAAAGACTAAAAAGACATGGCAAACTCAAGCAGCTGATGCAGCTCATAAAAGGAATGCAGCACTTTTAAATGTAAGTTTCTGCAACTACCAGGAACCGCATTGAAATGTCATGGTTATGTAGCTTAGAGCATTAAAAAAAGTGTTTGCTCTATAGTTATCAGTTGAATTCTCCTATATACAGTTTCTCTTCTGGAACTTGACCAAAAGTATTAAATGACAAGTCTTTATTATCTGACGGCATCACTACATATTTCCCATGCCCTTATATGAGCCTTGTGATGGCAGCTGCTACTGTCTTCTTTTGGGGTTTTTTTAAGTACATGTAGGGATGCAACACATGCTATTACATGTCTGCCTAGGAGAACCTAAAGAGTCTGACAAGACTCACAGTAGCTCTACACTTTGATTCAAGATGCAGGGTTGTGTTCTGAAACAGGGGCTGACCAGCCTATAATGCTTCTAATCAGGATAAGAGCTGTTCTCCCACTATGGTTGTGTGAAGTTGTGACAGAAGTTCTCGGGTGTAGAGTGACTTCAAGAATCTTACTTGGAAGTCTGTAAAAGCAGTGTTTGGTGTTTCTGGCTCTGCCTAGTGGTGATGCTGTTAATAGTGTTAATAGCTGTTCTACATACCTATTGTTGTATTTAGGTAAGATTTGTGTTTCCTAGGTAAATTCAGTAGGTGTTTGGGTAATTAAAAAGATGTAGGTTTGATGGCAGGGACTGAAATGATAAAACCTCTCTGGAACCCCTAGTTTAGGCATCTGAGTTTAAAGAGATTGCAGTTGACCACTGATGTGGCCATACATTTGACAAATGTTTGTGTGTTATTGAGGAAATAGCAGAAAACCATTTTCTTTGATCTCTCAACTTTTTGAATTTACTAAGGGTCATATTACATATGGTGTGTTCATTGAAACAGTAAGTTTTACTGTAGAAAATTACAAGATTAATTTGTGTCACCAAAAATTTTTGTTTCTTCATACAAATCCTGGTTGAGACTTAAAATGTTCACATTTTGGGTGGGTAAGATTCTATTGCATGCTTTCTTGGTATTTAAATGGAAGTTACATTTAGGGAGTGGTAGACACAGCAGATCAAGAATGCCTTCAACTATTCTGTGACAAGGAACTTGGACTGGTGCTTTTTGGGTGAGGGCAATCAAACCCTCTGTACTGGGTACAGGGGAAAGTAGGTGCTTCCATGGGAGGCTGGGGAGAAGTGGATATGGTTTGTTTATTTTTTTCCATAGTTCATAGAATCACAGAATGGTTTGGGTTGGAAAGGACCTTAAGATCATGTAGTTCCAGCCTCCTGCTGTGAGCATTGATCCAGCCATTATGTCTCCCGTTTTCCATATGCATTTTATAAGAGATTTTTATTTCATAAATATAGATTTTTGCAAATTATTTGTATTCTATAAATGCGTTCTCAGTTTACAGATCCAGGCAAGCATAATAAATGCAGGTTGTATTTCTGCATGCTGAAAGCTTGTTGTATTGGAAATGTTAACAATAGCTTAGCCATATACAGAGTGTAAATATTTCTGCAGTTAAACAGATATTTGCCATCTTCTGTCACATCCTCAAAATTGTTCCTTTCAAGTGTCAAAAATGTTGGTGTTTGTAGGGAAAAAAGGCAAAAACATATGTATCAAAACAAATTCTGTTGCAGGATAAAGAAGCATAAATCAGTTGAAATCTATTAATTTTATACTAGTTTTATCAGGCGTACACTCCTGCAGATGCTTTCTGATAACAGAAGAAAACGGGGGGGGGGAAGCGATGCAGAATAATATATGAGAAGCTTGAAAACAAGACTGATTAATGTGCCAGCTTCAGAATATTGTTCCTGATACCAGGCACTGTACATTTCACAGTTACCATGTGGAGAGTTGTTGATTTGGCCTACTCAAAAATACATGGACATGACGAAGTGTTATTTTTTTATTTGCATTTCTGCTTTTCTGCATGTAAGCAAAATCAGTTGTTTTCAGGATGCGATCATAGCAAAAAGACATTTTTCTTTCTCTATGCTGCTTGATATTTATGCACAGGGAAGATTTTGCAATTAATTTATTTTTTAATCAGTAGAAGGCAAGGAACTAAGCATTATTTTAATTGAAATTTTTACATTATAAGCACTTGTTTGGCACTTGAACAGAATTGTAAGGGTATTTTCCTTTATGTCTTTTGAAGGAGACTGCAGATGAGGGAAATCTGGTACTTGTATCATGTTGTAATAAAAGCAGAAATCAGACTAGTATTTGCCATCTTATTCATGACATTTGTAAGATTTCTTGTGTTTAGAAATATGTATTACTGTGCAACAGCTTATAACATGAAATAGCAAATAAAGAATATGCTATGTACTAATTAGTATTGGGAAGGTAATTTAGACCAAATTTGCTTTCCTTCACAGGCATGTAATTGTAGAATTATTGAAGTGGGAACCTGCCAGACTGATATCAATATAAGTGACAGCTGAATTTGGTCCCCTAAAAGTGATGCATGTGTCATGCGTTCCATTTTACCTCTGGGGAAGGGGCTTGAATTGTTCGTGTTCCAGCCCTTGTGATTTTAAGGGAAGCACTGCAAGATGCTCTCTTTTTTCAGTTCTGTGACATATTAGATTTGTGGGTGTTTTTTCCACAGTGTTTTTACACTGCTGATGTATTTAGTTTTATATTTATGATGAGGATTTATTTTTCCTAAAAAGCTAACTAGTTGTGTAGACACACGAAAAGTGCCATCTAATCTTTTAGTAGTTCCAGTTATTTTCTAAAGCATACTACACCTTCCAGCAAAAATTTATTTCACTGTCTGTCATTAAATCAGTATTCTGAATGACAATAGACTGCACAACATACAACTAGAGCGAGCAACAAAAAGACACATCCAATATCTAGGCTATGCCAAAGTGACCTTCTCTACTAAACATATCTGCACAACTGCCATCTTCTTTCTTGCCTAAAAGACACTCATTTCCTATCAGCATAAACATTCCAATGACTTTGTGGAGTATATAAGGAAAGAACTATCTTGACTGATAGTCTTTCTTCCTGTGAACATTCCTACAGGAATTAGGAGGAAGAAATCAGAAACAACAAAAATTCTGTGGAACAGTATGAAGTGGACATAACTGGTTGATCCTCCTGTTCAGTATGGTGATAACTTCTCCAGGCTCCGTCTGAGCCATACTGATATGAGCTTCGTTTGGTGCCAATTGTGGGGTATCTATTCAAAGTACATGCAATAGAGAAATTCTTTCCGTAGGTTCCTGAAGTCTGTGCTGGCCTCTGTTATTTTGATATTGTGACTTCAAGTGGCTTCTATTTTTTGCTCATATTCATGTTTATCCTGTTGTCTTTTCTCACCTGAAAAAGATCAGCCACTGTTTCCAAATCTGAGCCTCAGTTTGCTCTTTCTCAGACATCCTTTACCTTCCTACAAGGGTGTGGACTTTGGTGTAGAAAAGGGAGAATAGTTTTGCTTGGTTTAGGTTAGTAATTATATGCAAGAGAATACAGTCATGGTGTAACAGGAAATAAATAAAGTAAGATGAACACTATAAATTGAATTAACTGAGTGTGTATCAGTAAGTTGAACTTCAACTAAAATACGGCTGGTTTTTTGCTTCTATTAATCATACTTTACTGAATTTGAGTCATATTTTTTAAACTAAGCTTGAGTCGAGCACTGTTTGCTTATTGATGTATTCAGATTGGCTATTATTCAATACGAGTAATCATGTTTGGTCTCTCTTATGGATATGCTCCTCCAGAATCTCACTCTTCTTTTCAGCAGCAGTGGTGGTGAATATTTGGGAAGTCCCTTTGGGGAATTTCCTCTCTCATTTAGTTTTTCTGTTGTACTCTTCACACCCGCTCTCTGCTCCCAACTCTGCCATCTGCTATACTTTCTTTCCCCCTCCACTCTGTTCAGCTTTGGCTTCTTCACACCCCACTCCCACGTGCCTTTCTGTCTCTCTTCATCTGCCCACCACTCAATCTCTTCAATGTTTGGGTATGGAACTAAGCCCACAAGAATGGGTCAGAACTTTAAAGGGGGAGGGCGCTTAGTTCAGGGGGATGTTTTGATTTGTTTGTTGCTCTTGTTTTTCGGTTGTTTCTTCCTTTAAATTATTTAGGCCTTTGTGAATCCAGCACATATCCACTGGCCAAGCAGAAACCCAAACACTGGGGTGGATTTTTTTTGTAAGAAAGCTATGTGAGGTGCATTGTCATCCAAATTTGTCTGGTGAACAGCTTGCTGCAGCTCTACATTTTTGTGCACATGTTATGCATGCATATTAGCAAGTCATCTTTGTCTTGAGAAGTAAAGATCTTGCACATAATTTGCCTAGTTACTTTACAGTTACAGTAGCTAGAACACATAGTTGAGGCTTCATGCAACACAGATAAAACCATTTTGTTCCTCTCAGAACAGAATTTAACTAACACTGTTTTACAGCAACGGTCTTCTGTAGTCATGAAATTTATTCTTGTGCCAGAAAGGTACAGCAAACATATTTAGAAACTGTAGGATGTTGGTCTTGCGAGTTGGGTTTCAGAACAGAAAGAGTAGAACTTCACTGTTAATATTCAAATGCTGTTTAGCTCTAATGGGTTTATTCAGTTCATTTAGATGTCTTTATGTGAGTTATTCATGTTTAAATGTCTTTACGTGAGTGTAGATTTTCCTTTTGAAATTACTAGTGTTTGTTTTTAAAATGTACTTTGCCTGTGTTTTAGGATATAGAAGCAGCAGAAAAAAAGCTGCAAGAAAGAGTGCATTTACATCCACATCCTGATACTGTTAAGTTAGAAGTAAGTCCTGGAATTCTGTCTTTTCATTTGCTGTTTACCAAATATTATGTCTTTTTCCCCCCCTGAAGCATGTTTTTAAAGTGAAAATAATTGATTTTAAAATCCAATGACTGGTATAGCCAAAGGCCTGTGTACTGTGTAGCAAAGCTGAACCTGAATTCTAGGACAAGGTCCCTAGATTCTGGAGCATTCTGGTGGAAATACTGAGCAGCTTTCAGATCTCTACAGACTTCTGTTTAAAAATGAAGTCAAATATAAAAATGAATATTGTGAGTATCAGGAGTTTACTGTGCTTGTTATGTCAAAGTTGCTTGGTTTGCTCTATATGGTCATCCTGTTTTCAGTTTGCCACAGATTGTCATCTTTACATTTTAGAGTCAAGAGTTTATCAGCATAAATAGGGACATTTTCACTTCTCAGAGTTATTTTATGGTTGCATAGAATGTACTGCTACAGCAGAAGCACTCTATTTTTGCTTCTCAACCTGTAGTTCCTAAAACATTTAAAGATAAAATTTTGAAAAGCAAGTTACTCTTGCTTTGCAGATATTATCCTGATACGGCATACTAAGTTCAGTTCCCTATTCTCAACAGTTTTATCAGTATTATGCAGTGATAAATAAATGATGAGGCCAGAAACAGTGCAGGGAATAGGAACTGGAACACAGCTCTTCCTGATGGAAACTGAACATCTTAACCACAAGGCCACTGAATCAGATTCCCACTTGTGTTTTTTGCATCAGTGGTTTGTGGGTTCTTCATTGTATGGTGGCTTAGTTTCCACACACATAGTAACACAGAGGGTCCCACACTGATTTGAGTGCTAGGGCACTGTCAAAGGAGGGGAAAGGTACAGGTTTTAGCACTGTCAGCCTGTGAAGAGGGGTGGTTTGTACACTAGTTTCACACCTGCTGGGCAAGTGTTGTAATGCTTAGGCTATTACTTCAATGAGAGGCATCACTTCTTGTTCTGGTTACTGTTAAAAGTTTTTTGTCTGTCATTGCATTTTGTAAACAGCCTACTCGTATGATGGTGACAGGGTGCACACTGAGTGTGACCATTTAGTCAGAGGTTTCTTCATTTTTTTAGAGATTTTTAGGCAAAAGAGTATACTTTTTACTAGATACTTGTACATATTCAATTATGCTAAGAAAGGTGCCAAGGACCTAATATTGAACCTAATCAGAAGTAGTTTTAGACTCCTCTGGAGTCATTTGGATCAGTTTTGAACTGCTGTTTACTCTGGCCTGTGTTAGCTGTTAAACTTGTGGTGTGTAGACCAAGATCTGTGCAAACTGGAGAACACAGAGCAATTGCTTCTGGTTGCAGAGATGTCTATGCTCTGCAGCAGCGGTTGGATTTGAGAGAGAACAGAGTTACTATTTGAAGGAGAAGATCCTATTTCAGCCTTTTTTTATGCTTCTACAGAAGAGTGCTATAAATAATGGGAAAAGAAAACTTTCTTTCATGGTTTCAGATTTTTGTGCGTGCTTTGTTCCAAAACACTTCTGAGCATATTTCTCTCAGCCATATATGTGCCTGTATTAATATACTTTGAAAGTTATGGCTATAATGGATCCCCAGCTTGCTAAGTTGGAGTAGTTTTGTATGACAGCACATATGCTTGTCAAAAAAGATTCTTTGAGTAAATCTGTTGAAGAAAATATTTTTGTAAATCTGCAAGAGCCATAGTTATATCTGAGTTACATGTAAGGATCAAAATGAGTAGCCAGGAATCAAACACCTCTGCAGAGAGATGTTCCATTCTGTGGTACGCTGCTTCTGCATTACATACTTAAGTAAAGAAAAATGGCTCAATGCACCATAAATGTTTCCTACTACGAAGCTACTTTTTTTTCTGAATGGACATCAGTGTCTAAAATTACTCACATTGGTGGCTGGATTGAAGTGTTGGCTTGATACAGTTCTTTGTTCACATTATTCTGTAGAAAAATATACATGGCACTTAAATTTTTCTTCAGAATCCTACAGAGTTATCCTTAGGATGCTGACACAAAAATGATGGTGTGTCCATTGCACAGGTAAAAAAGTAGTTAAATCTATTACTCAGAGGCAGAGGGTAATGCAGAGAAGGGGTTAGGTAGTCCATTGTGGTTTTCATAGACCACAGGATACGTATGCAGGGTTTTTATTGTCTTTTTTGTTTGTGATGCAAATACTGGAGCCAATTACTTCATCAAGTGATTTATCTCATGAAATAATTTACTCAAGTATTGTGAACCACATCACAGCAGCTTTTCTAGGATAACCAGTTTACATAGCACTTTGTTTCTAACATTAAACAACTTTTTCCCACTTCAAAAATTATATTCCACTAACATGCGTGCTTAAATGTAGCGCTTTTGGAAAGGTTAATAATCACAAAAAATACTTTGTTAAAGGTACTGTGAGGGTTTAAACTCATCTGTTGCTTACCACAAGAGGGCACATTCAGTCACTTCACAGTTCATGCTGCAGAATGAAATCTTTCCAGGCTGGTATTTTACATCATACAAGAGCTTTGAAATTTCATGTGTAAGTATGTTGTTCTTTTCTGAATTGGTTCTCTCAAAAAGCAAGATTTACTAATGCACTGCATATCTGTATTGGTTTTGAAACAGGCTGACACAGATTTTGACATGAAGTTTATTTTTTCTTCTGTCTTTCTCAGACTCTCTATTGGGCATCAGTAAAAGAATCTCTTCCCAAGTGGGAAGATTTTCTTTTAGGAAGAGCAGAAGTTCCTATTGGTTTTAAGAAAATGAAAACTGCAAAACAGAACATAAGCTACCCAGAAGATTCACAAAAATAAACACTCTAGTTTCATTTTGCTTTGCAATTTATGGCTTAAGCAGGCAAGATCATCCAGATCAGGCAACAGGATATCATGTAATGTAAATCATTGAAATGAAAATGAACTCTATTGGGTAATTTGCTTCCATTGCCACGTTGTGTACACTTTATTTTTATGCTGTATTAGGGCAGCAGTCCTCAAAGGGGCCTTTAGGATCAAAAGTGAGAAATGCTGGTGTGTAGAAACCCACCAAGGCAATTGTTTTTTCAGTATGAGAGGAGTTTTAGGTTATTTTTAATCCTCTGCTTCTACATATAAGTGTGACAAGTAAAGACAGATTCATGCATTATCTTTCTTCAGTGCAGTTATCTGTGCTGTATGCCTCTTTGTGCATGAAGGAGAAAGGAGGAATTTATGGTTAACAGGAAAGGTGGGCATCAGAGAAGCCTTGCTTTAGCACCAGGAGTCTGTGTGAAAACCTTCAGCAGAGCAGTTGTAGAAGGAACACCTTGAATTTCCGCATCTTGTTTTCCCTGATTTTTGTCATTGCCACTTTCATCACTCCTACACCTCACTCCAGTCACCACTGCTGCTTTTCACGACCTCCTGCTGCCTGCTTTGTGTTTCCTGTCTGATGACTGGGTACAGACAAGAGGAAGTAAACAGATCTCTAGGGGTTTCTGCTACTTCTTGGCTGCTCTTGATGCTGTTTTCTTCCTGTTGACGTAATCTACAAGTGAGAACTTTTGCTTAGGCATGAAAAGTTTGGAAGAAGCAAACTTAAAGGTAGCTGGCAGTGGCTGTAGAAGAAGCTGAGGAGATAATAGTTTAATTTTCAACCATTGAACAGTTCCTCAGCTTCCTCCTGCAGAGGTGCAGTGTGAGTGAGTTTTGACTGTGCAGTGGACTTAACTTGGTATGAAAGTTTAATTGTTCCAGTGCAGTGCTCTTGAAGCATCAGTTCAGTGGAAGATCCCTCCAGGTGTGGGACATGGCCTGCAGAAATTTAATCCTTCCTCAGCAAAGGAAGCTTAGAAAAAGAAAAATCTTTAATTTTTTAATTTTTTTTTTATTAAGAACATGGACTTGAGTAAATATATTGTTAAAATTTAATCTCATGCAACAACAACCACCCCCGACGTGAAAGTAGGAGAGAAAAAAATCTGCCAGTGTTTGAGGATATGAAGATGTAATCATTGCAGATTTTGCTAGGCTACCAGTGGGCTGCTTTATGCAGCTCCATGATCCATAAAGCTAAAACTTACTATTAAAAATTACATATCTATGTAGCATAAAGAATCACTGACACAGTAAAGTCAAAACTTCAGCTGTGGCATATAATCGTAGTATGTTTCCGATGGTAATATTAAGGGTTCACTTAAAACTTTTACTATTGAAGTGTCCATTAAAGTGGTGAGTTTTTGCAGAAACTGCCATCTTAGAATTCTCCTGTTGAGTGGGTGTTGGTGTTTGTAACAATAACGTTGTTTTCATAATATGTGATGGCAGATTAGCACGCTTCTCTGCAGTGTTGTTAACAGTTGTAATTAAGGAATAAACAGTAAAGGGTGTCAGTCCGATGACAATTTCATCTATAGTGTCACAATACAAAATGTCACAAAATATTAGAACTGTTATATAACTACAAAAATATCAAATTAGGCTTTCATCTTACAAGCAGAGAAGTTAGAAAAAAACAAAACCTGGCATAGAGACCGTTGCAATTTTATACCTACTCAGTGTTCTGTCACAGAGACAACTTGGTAATACTGTCTTCTGTAACATCACAGTGTGGTTCTCAATCTGATTTAGCGGGAATGTCTATGGTTCTTAGAATTGCAGAGTTCACATGTAAAAAGCAAATAATTGGAAGTTATTTGCTTGAGCAGTTGAGCAGACAAGAAGGGAAAAGCTATTACACATGATGCCCAGAATGAGGGGATGGGTGTGCAGTTAGTTGGTAACAAAAGACTAGGATTCATCCTGGTCTTTGCATCCAAAGAGAAATCACTTGAACTAAAATCTGGCCCCATAATTACTTATACATGTGAATAATCTGGGTCTTTATCTCTTTGGACTCCACCTAAATGTGGGGACACAATGCAGATGCTCACTATCTCCTGGCCCCTTTTGATTTCCCTGGAAGGAAAGTGTGCACTATGTGGCTGACTTGGCTGCTGGGTGGTGAGGAGTTTGTAGTGTGCTCTGACAGGTACCTGTGAGCAGTGTTAGCGTAGATTCCATGCTGCAGTTAGCTGCTCAGAGCATGTTGCTGATTATTTTGTTGTTATTGGGCAAAGAGATTAAGATGAAAATGGAATTACTTTTCTGCAGCATAGCTTTAGAAGCAATTGGACAACAAGTGCATGGAAAACTATATTGGAACATGTCCAGAAAAGGCAAAAATGAAGAGAGACATTTAAAGCAGGAGTGTGTATAGGTGACTGCTCTCAGAGGTGAAGGCCTTCATGCTGGCCTAAGGTCTGGGATATTTATATACAAAAAGGCAACTGTGCATGCCTGAAGCAGTGCAACAGTGTAGGGGCAGCGCAGCAGGGATGCTGAGGTGCAGGAGTGTGCATTACTTGGTTTGGCACAGACCATGGGGCAAGCAGTGGGAGGAAAGAGCTACACAGGATCCCTGTTCTACTTTGATCTTAGTGCACGGTTTAATTGCTACAGCTGAGCTAGCTTGCCACTTGCCTTTCTATAGAGACAAATTGAGAAAGCAAATGTTAAATTAAGTGTGTTTAAAAAAAAACCCAAACCAAACTTCCCCTAAACTGTTTGATACCAGTATGGTTTAGTATCAGCTTTAAATGAGTTCTTTAATAGGTATTCTTTACCACATCAAGGCTGTAACTTCTATACAGTTATGCCCTATCTTATCCCAAGCTTTTATATAAAGTATACATTATATATGTTTTATCATATATATATGTATCTTGTGTCATTTTCTACACATCTTAGGTAAATATTGGTGTCTTTTTTCCCTCAGAAGATAGCCTCTTGCTCTACATTCTTTACTTCCTGCTTGCCCTTTTGAGTTAAAAACGTATGTATACATAAGCTACAATGGTCCTAAGAGCCTGTTGCTGCTTTTGCTTTTCTGGTGGGTGGGGAAAAGCAATTGAGAAAAGAGCGGTGAGGAAAACCAAAGAGTTTGTCTGCTTGTAAGTTAATCTTTGGGTATCTTACAAGAAGAAATAATTAATCACCCTTTTTTAGGTTTATGCACAGATGAGTAACCACAGTACTAACCCAGGAGCACAGCCTGTTCACCCATCTTGTCACCTCTCCCATCACATTCCCAAGCTTTTTACTTTCTCAGTTATTCTGGCTGTGGGGGCAGTAGCAGAAGGCATGTTACTTTTCCCTCAGATGAGAGATTTCTTACTCCGCAGAATCTTTCTCAAGCCTATTAATTTAATTTGAGAGTACATATGAAATAATAAGATGGTTTAGACACATGATATTTGACATTTACTGTGGTAACCTCTTGTCTGCATTTATGAGGGGTCGTGTAGGGAGCTAGATTTTAGGCTGAGCTTAAAGTTCTTCATTTCTCTCTTTTTCACATATAGCAGGTCAGGGATGTAGATGCTCAGTTTGAGCTTGTTGGTACTGGAAAAATTAGAAAACCAAATTTGAAATGGAATGTACTTTTAGAGGTTACATCTGAAAGAAAACATTATTTACTCCATAATGGTAATTTTCATAATATTTTAATAGTTGTGTTCAGATACAACGTGACCTTAAATATCACCCCAAATGCAAGCTGTTTTAACATATTTGTAATGCAGAAGTCTTCATTACTGTAATATTCTGTTTGCTCAAGGATTATAATCCGCTGTGTTACAGTCCAAATAAAGCTTTGATCCTATAGTCACTGCCTCTTTGATTTCAGTGTTACGTTACATGTGTGAGTTGGATGTAAATAGGTGCCTGGTGTAGACAAGTGCATGGACAGTGATTAGGCCAGTGGTAAATACTTTGCTTAGGTATGGTGTTTGTTTTCCTCTGGTCTGAAATATTAATCTGCTGAGTGCAAATCAGAATCTCAGAAGTTGACTGCTGAAAAATCCAAGTGTAATGAACTACATTTGATTATTTGCACTTTTGCCATTGTTTCACAGTAACTGGGAGCTAAATCACTTCGGCTATGTGATTACTAGCAAGATATGGGTAGAAATACTTAAACCTTTGACAAGGAGACAGGTGGGACAAAAAAAAAACCCAGTTCTTCAGTGCATCCTCCTGCTGTGTCAGGCTCTTTGTCTTTTGCCATAAATAATGTGATTTAATTGGGGAATTTGCTAGTCCCTTTAAACACAGCTGAAGCAGCTCATGAAGCTGCACCGCATTGTACCCGTTGTGTGCATAGTCCTCCAGTTGTATCTTTCTCGTTGGAGTTTCTTTGCATGCGGATAGGGAGTATGCTCACTTCTTCCCGTAAGTTTTTATCGCTAGTGATGATGATCTTAAAAATAAACGTGTGGTGTTCTTTCTCCTTGCTCTCAGTCGTATCACCTACCAGAAAGCCCTAATAGGCAACAAAAATAGTGTGAGACTGTATTTACATCACACTTTTGAAACAGATTCAAGCAGAGCCAGCTGCTAGAAGATTATTTTACAAATACATTGTGACTTAATAAAAGGAAAAATTAAGTAAATTACAGTCTCCTTGACGAATTACATAGCGTGAGGCCGCAGTAAATTAGTACCTGCCTCACAGCAGGGTTGGGAAACGGGATTTCGGTTTTGCGGCTTCCATGTAGTTTGTGTGCGTTCCCAATAGTCACGGTGCTCTAACTGTAGCTCAGTACAAGCTTCCGGAGGATAATTTGTTTAAGCGAACCACACGCCTGCAGTTTTGTTAAGCGCGGTCTAACCTGAGCTCTGCGGAGCCTGCCCAGGGGTAAGTTTGCTCCAGGCTGGAAAAACCCGAGCCAAGCAGCAGTGGGAAAGGAAGAAGAGAGTGGGACACACACACATAAAAAGAGCACTGCTCTCGTTTTCTAAAGGAAGAAGAGCGGCGATGGCCGGAGACGGGCGGTGGGAACGGCGCGGGGGGGCTGGGGGGGGTTGTCCTCGCCGAGCGGAGCCGGGGCTCCCCGGGAAGCTACGGACAGCGGGATAAGTCGCTTGGAATTGCCCGTAACTATAACCGTGACGGTGCGAAACGAATCTGTACATCTACAGGGGAAGGATATCTCTGCGTGAACGAAACTATCGCACTCCTGTCATTTGGGAACGGTGTCTAGAGCGAGCTTAAACAGCTGGTTAACTCTTCACACTGTTTCCCGGCCGTTTCCGGGTCCACTTGGCTTTTTCCTCTATAATTAGCTTTCTTTTGCTGGATTCATTCAGTGATGCGATAATCCAATGTTGGTAATATCTCAGTTCATTAACATAATGAATCAGAAGGAAGAGGCTGATTATAAATCAGAAAGCTTCTATTTATGTGAAATATCTTGGCAACTCGCTGCAGTGAGGAAGACGGGAGAAGGGGTAGCAGACAGTTAACGGGACTTGAGGAAAGCGCTTGCGGGAAGTCTCAGGTGCTCTTCTGAGCGATTTCAACGCCTCAGCCTTTCCACAGGACAATCCTGTCCATCGCAGAGGTCTTCCAAGCGCTCATCCCCGTTGCGATTGGGCGAGAGATTTGGCCCCGGCCGCTGGTAGCGGGGACATCGTGGCAAGATGGGGATGGGACCACTCGGCGGGGCTGGGGCTACTCCCAGCACCTCGGCCAGCAGTAGGGAGAGGTGAAGCAGAGTGCCCGGACCCTGCCCATCTTCTGCTTCTGCTCCCTACCAGCTCGCTTTTAAAGTCACTCATCAGTTGCTGCGTTTGCAGAAGACTGCAGAGATGCAAATGCTGGAGGAAAACCCACGTTTTGGTGTTGCTTTGGGGTTACAAACCCAGAACTCTGGGGGCAGCCCCTTCCCCTGTTCTCCACATCCAGCAATTCGTTGTCCCCGGTGAGGACAACGAGGCGTTGCCCTAACTAAACACGCTCTTCCGGGGGTCATTTCAAAGCACGTTTTTTCCGACTTTATGAGTACTGGTGGCTCATAAACGCCAGAGAGCTGTTTGTGCTCCCGATGTCCCAGGGCTCAGTGCACCCCCTGGGAAGGAAAAGTAACCCGCCCCAACACAGGCGTTCACATGCACCTCGTTTAAATGTTTTTAATTGAGGGCACGTGTTGCCCATGATTCAATCAATCAAGCAGTTGCAAGAGAGAAAAAGGAATAACGTGTGCTTGTGGCATTAGCTCAGGCAGGGTTAGTGGTATGAGTAGGCTAGGAGTAATGTTAAACGGTCGGATAGGTTTCCTGGAGGACGGTAGAAGCAAGCTGGTAAATTTTTTTTTTCTCCTCTTTATATGTCTTTACTGAGGACTTTAATTGTAACACTGGGTCACCCTAGAGAGTCGCAGAGCTGGTGGCTGGGAGAAGGTAGGGTGGTAGTGAGAGGAGGTTAGGAAGGGGAATGGGTTGGGGTGAAGCTCGTTGCGGTGTAAGATCTGCTCGCCGGAGCACTCGGGAGAGTGTGGGGTGAGCATGGGTCACCAAGCAGCTCCATCATTACAGCCCCTCGCAGCGCGCTCCCGGGGTAGCAGCCTCTCGTCCCCTCTGCCTGCACTGTCCCCAGGTGTCCCTCGGTGCCCCCCGGTGTCCCGCCCGGTATCGGAGCCGGCTGTCGGCGCGGCCCCGATTCTCTGGGATATCCGAGGCCCGCACCCGTAGGGGTGGCGAGGGGCGTTAGGGAACAGACTGGGGAAGGACGACAGGGGCTGAGCAGCGAGAAGGGCGAGAGCTCGAAGCACTCAACCTCGAGAGGTGGCCGGGAAGCAGAGCCCTCCGTGGGGGACCCTCGTGGGTGACATGAGGAACGGGCCGGCACCCTCGAGGCCCGGTGGCTCGCTCAAAGATAATGCAAATACTCGCGTAAAACGGCTTAAAGCGGCAGAAGGACGAATCCTGCGGGCACCTGTGCGTCCGCGGGAGCCCTGCGGGTTGGGAAAGGCATGTGTCAATTTAGCTGTCGTGTTGACTTAAGCGAAAGTGCTAAGCCATTCCTAAACCTAAGTCAATACAGACTTAAGCCAAAATTGTTATTAACGAGCCCTAATCTGATTTAAGAGCCTCCGAGCGAGCCGGGTCTACAGAGGGGAGAGGAGGCGCGTTGCCTTGAGGTGCTTGGTCCCAGGGGGTGTTCGGGCAAATGCACCCCCGGGAGGAAGGTGGAAGGCGGATTCGGGGCGGCGCGGCCTCCCGGGGAGAGCCAGGCCGCTGTTGTGCCGCCTGGTGATGTGCCTCTTGCGGGACAACCTCCCAGAGCTGTTCCCAGCGCGGCGGGCCTGGGGTTCCCTTACCGGGGGGCGGTGTGGGGTGAAGCAGAGCCCCCTCCCAACCCTGACCGGGGGTGGTGCCGGGTCCCGCAGCCCCGGTCTCCGAGAGGGTCATGCCGGTAGATTATGGTGTTTTTTCCCCATCCCAGTGGGGCAGTTGAGCCCTCCACTCCACCCCCCAGTGGGGGCCTTTCTTTTCTTCCCCACCAGCTTTGAGCAGCCCTGTTTCAGATTGGCCTTTTTATGTTTGATATAAAGAATAGTTGTTGGCCAATTCCATCTTTTCATCGCTGCTCTCCAGGCCCGGGTCCAAGCGGCTTGTCAGATGCTCATTAACTCCCCCTTTGGCTCTTTCCAGTGTGTCTCCTAAGCTCATTGTGCCAAGAACTAGCGCTTCTTTCTCTTTACACGGCTCCCTTTCTCTGCTCCATCAGGGAGACAAATTACTTTCCAAAAGGGATCGCCAGGGATGGTTTAATGAGAATTTCTCTAGGGCTGGCCGTGGAAATCAATGTAGTTAACATTCGGTGCACTTAATTGGACTTTTCTCTTCTGCCTCCTTCAAAAAAACTCTGAAGCTATCCTGTTAATCTCTCATTTGTAATCAATTGTGTTGACTAAACAAAAGTCTAGGTCGTCCTTTCTTCCTGTCCCAGACAATCCTTTGTTGCCTCTAAATGCCTCATTCTTGAGTGCTCCTGGTCTTGTAGATGGGTCCGATTTTTGACAGTTCATTATTGCGCTTTTGTCCATTTAATCTCCCTTGCTGTGTTTTGCATGTGCATGCCTTAATGAGCTCCGTTGGCAATTAACATGTTTCTAGCAGCAAACTGGTTGCTCAGACGTTTGGAGAGCGGAGTGCAGGGAAAAGGGCAACGCAGCTGCCTCCAGGTTGTTCGCTTCCCGGTGCCCGGCGGGGCGCACCTGGCTGCTGCCCGGTCCCAGGGACGCACCGGACCGGGCCGAGCCGAGCTAGGCGGGGGTTAGCCCGAGGGTGCTGGCTCTTCGCTCTGTACGCGGAGGCACCTCTAACCCACCCCCCCCCCCCGAGGCACCGGCCCTGCTCAATCTGTTGTGTGCCTGGCTGCGGTGCCGAGAGAGGGGTTTCTGTGCGGGTTTTTGTGTTATTATTGAGGCTTGCTGGCAAGAGTGCCGAAGTGTGAGCAGTCGTGGACAGCAGAAACATCTTGTGAGGGAGAAGATAATTGGAGGCTCTGGCGTGTGTGTGTCTGACAGAACCGCCCCTCCCCCGCGATCTGCGGCTTGTGTGTGCCGGGATCCGGGTGAGATCCCGGGGAAGGAGGGGGTGAGGGGGCCGGTGGCGATCGCTTCCCGGTGCGCCCGAGGCCGGGAGACACCGGAGCGACGCCGGCGCGGGACGGGCTGCGCTGCCCACCACCGCCGGGGTGACCCACCGGGCCGGCGCGGCTCCCGGGGTGCCCTGAGGATGCCCGCAGCCGTGACGGGGATGCCGCTCCCCCTCTCACAGAGGGCTCTGTAAACAACGCCGCTTTTTATAAAGATACGAAAGGAACGCGCTTCCCTTAATTCCCTTCCCGGGAGCAGGTTTCGCGCTGCTCCCGCCTGTCAGGAGCTCTGGGGAAGCAGCCTGCGCGCTGTCTGGGGAGACCCGCTTTGGGCGCCCGCCTGGCAGCACAGCCCTGCCCTCCTCCAGTGCCGCTTTCCCCGGCCCTGGCAGCGGGACCGGCTCCGCGGCTGCTCCCGAGGTGCGCACAACCCGCCGCTCGCCGCCTCCGGCACCCTGTCCTGCCGTGTGTCCCCCAGCACAGTGGCCATTCAAGAGGAGACGGGTCCCTTCCGATGCCTCCGGGCCGGGGGCCCTCCAGCCCCGTTGTTGGGGAGAGCAGGGGGTCGGCTGGCGGTTCGCAGCCGCGATCTGCCGATGAGGGGCTGAGATACACCCCCTTCACGGTTCCCCCCCCAACCCCCCGAGGCTTCCCAGAGCAGAGACAGGGTTCAATTTTTCTTATTTCTTTTTTTAATATAACCTGAAACTCTCCCCAAATCTTTTACAAATTCCACCACGATCTTCCCCCCCTGTCAGGACCACGGGCATCCTTTCGCGCTCCTCACCCGACGCAAACCGTCCAACGCTACTTCTGGTACTTCAAAATGCAAACCCAGAGCATCTCTGAACTGGCCCCGCTCCCTCCAGAGGGAGCAGAGGACCCGGCAACCCCCCGGGCTCGGCCCGCTCCTCGGGGAGAGCGGAGCATCGCAGCCGATTAATGAATCCCGAAAGCCGGAGCGCGGGGTCGCCTCCCGAGCTGTGCTTGTCCTTGCCTCCCACCGTTTAGCTACTCAATTAAGCGGAGAAAGGTGAACTCCCCGTTACACCGTCCCCAGGCATTTTGGTGCCTCGCTTGTTCCCCTCTTCATTGGCAAGCCCGGCCCGAGCACACGCACACGCACGGCCGGCTCCAGCTCCTTACTCCGCTAGAATAATATTGTTCCTAACGACGTGGCCGGAATAGACACTCGCATATTAAAAGTGAGGGAGGGGTGGAGATGAGAAGGGAATATTTAGTGTTATCCAAGTGCTTGATTATCCATATTCTGATCAAAAAGAGTTTCTGAGGCCTGCTGGGAGTGATTAGATTAATGTAATGCGGTTTGAAGGGTCTGTGTTTTCTCTCTTAATTTGGGTCATTACTCGGAAAGCAAGCGTGAGATCATTTTATCTGCATGCAGGGGAAGAGAGTCATTCAGCAGCGGATTTAACACGCCGTAATGAACCGACCCCGGGAAGCGGCGCTGGGAAACTCCGAACCACCCTTCGCGCAGCCCGCCGGGGGTCCCGCAGCGGCGCTGCCCCGTTCCCCGGGGGGCGGCAGCACCAGGAAGCCGCCCGCTGCCCTCCCGCCCTCGCTCGGTTTCCTCCACAGCGCTCGGTGGGCCCCGGGGCGGCAGGGCTTGGCTCTCCCCGCCGTCGTCCCGGCTCCCGGAGCTCCCGCAAGCCGCGTATAGCCGGCGGACAGCGCCGTTAAGCCCGGTCCCCAGTTCGGACCGGGGCCGAGGTGGGAAATGAGACACCTGCGAAGGGTCGGTTTATTGTCCCATGATAGATAGATATAGATATAGATATATTCCTCACTTATTCGAGCGTACATTTAAAATGGAGATTTACAGACACGGATAAAGAGCGCTGTCCTGGCGGGGGGCGGCCAGCCCGGCCCCTCCTGGCCTGCTCCAGCGGCGCAACGCGCCGTTAAATAAGATTCCTCTTATATACAACTGCGGCTCGGGATCGCTTGCTACCGGCGGCTGAGCTCGCTGGGGAAAAGAAGAGAAGCAAAGGCTGGTTTGGATAAATAGTGCTGGCCTGGTGGAGCAGGTCCGAGTGAGGCGGCGTGCGGGGCCCTTAGCTCTGCCCGCTGCGCCCGGGGTCCCGCGGCGGAGGAGCACTGGAGACGCTGTCGTGCAACTTTCGGACGTGCTTTTTTAAATCAAAGTTTCTGCAAAATCCTTTCCCGCAAGTGACGCACGTAAAGGGCTTCTTGTCATTGTGGGTGTGCATGTGGAAAGTCAAGTTATAGATCTGGTGGAAGGCTTTGTTGCAAATGGTGCACTTGTACTGCTTCTCCCCGCTGTGGGTCAGCTTGTGGTTCTTGTAGTTGCCTGCGAGAAAGGAAGAAGGTGGAAAAGGGGGTTACCGAGGGTGCCCAGGCCGCTCGGTGCACAGGTAAAGCCGGGCAGGACGGGGTGGGGGGCATTAGGAAGGGTCTCCCCCCGCCCGCCTTGTCAAACTCGGTCCCTGTCAGCGCGGAGCAGCGTGCAACTGTCACGGCACAAATGAGAGACAGGGTCAGCCCGGTGACCCGCGGCAAACGGAGGGGCTCTGGATTAGGACCAAGGCCCGGCACCTCTCATTTAAAAAGCATTTAGGGAGAACCATCAGCGAGGCCCAGCGATGCGGCCCCGCTTACAGGGAAAGTAATTGGGAGCGGCTGCTGCTCCGGCCGAGCCGGGCAGGCCTCACCGCCTCTCATTTCCTCTAACGATGGGCGACGGCCCCGTCCCATCCCAGCTCAGCTCACCTTTCTGGTGGAAGCCCTTGCCGCAGAACTCGCAGACGAAAGGCTTATAGCCGGCGTGGATGCGGATGTGTGTGTTGAGCGTGGAGCTCCTGTTGAACGCCTTCCCGCACTGGTTGCATTTGTGGGGTTTCTCCTGCAACCGGGTGGGGGGAGGAAGGAAAGCGAGAGGCCGGTCAGGGGGGGCTGCGGGGGGCGGGGGCCAGCCTCTTCCCCCCCGCCTAGCCCCCCACCTACCTGCGTGTGGATGATTTTGTGCCGGCACAGGGTGCTGGCCTGGCGGAAGCCCTTCCCGCAGACCTTGCACACGAACGGCCTGGCCCCCGTGTGCACCGGCATGTGGCGGGTGAGGTTGTAGTGCGCGTTGAATACCTGCGGGGAAGCGCCGGGAAGACGAGGTCAGGCCCGGCCCGGCCCGGCCGCTCCTGGGGGGGGTGTGTGTGTGTGTCGTCCCCTCCCTCCCCATTGCCGGCGCCCCCCTTACCTTGCCGCAGACCTCGCAGGTAAAGTTTTTGGGCTTTCCCTCCGCCGCGCCGCCGCCGCCCCCCAGTTTGGCGTGGCCCTTGGGGGGGCCGCCGCGCTCCGCCGCCGCCGCATCCTTCATCACCTGGTCGAGGTGTCCCGGCAGCCGCTCCTTATGGGCGAAGGGCGGCGGTGGGGGCAGCTTCTCGGCCGCCAGCCCCGCTAGCTTGGCGTTTTCCAGCAGAAAAAGCTTCTGGTGGGCCGAGAGGCCCCCCGGCGGCGGGGCGCCCAGCAGGCCGGCGGGGAAGAGCTGTCCGTGCAGGATGTCGGCCGGGTGGTACGCGGCGTCCAGGTAATTGAAGTAGTAAAGGGAGCGGGGGGCGGCCGGCACGGCCCCCGCTTGGTGGATGACCTGCGGCTTGATGAGCCGGCCGCTGGGCTGGCCCAGGGCGAGTTCTGCCTTGCAGCACACGCCGCAGTTGGCTTTGCAGAGCCCGGCGCCGCCCCGCAGGCTGCTCTTCCACAGCTCCGAGTAGCTGAGAGTCTTGGAGGGCACCTCGTAGCTCAGCGGCGGGATGGGGATCACGCAGGGCAGGGGTGAGCACAGGCTCAGCGGCTTCTTGACCGGCTCCGACTCCGGCCCTCCGTGCCTCTGCTCGAAGGCTGGCTTGGGTTCCGACGTCTTGGCCATGATCCGCTCGATGGAGAAGGCCAGGGTCTTGGAGGGGTTAGCGGCGGCGGCCCTGCCGTCGTGCCGGGGGCAGGAGGAAGGCATGACCGTCTCCAGCGACCCCGGGCTCGCCATGTCGCTCCGCCGTGCGGGAACTTGGTGTGAGCAGCGAGTCGCTCCCGCTCTCGGCTCTGCATTCCAGAAAAGCCAGGGAGACAAATCAATTTAATAAGCACCTTATTCTCCCCCCACCCCCCCCAACCCCCCCCACCGGCACCCCCTCCCTATTTACATTCAAATGAACATATCCAGGAACAATGGCACGTAGGGTACCAGATTACTGCTCATTAAGCGGAACACGCTAAAGTAACATGCAAGCTAGACCTTGTTAGTATTTAAAAGAAAAGAAAAAAAACCAAGAAAGAAAAAGAAAAGTCTCCCCCAGCCCAATGCCACCCAGCCCAGTCCCACCGATGGCCGCGGTGCAGGGGATGCGGGGGGCAGGGAGCAGGGTGAGGGGCGGCGGGGTTCGGCTTGGGACCACTTACCTTTGCCCAGCGCCGGCGAGCCTCATCCAAGCAGCGCAGTGTGGCCACCGTCACATTTTGATAGCAAACATCTTCCTGAGCGTCAGATCACGGTCTCGTACATTTAAAGCTGACATCACATGAAGTCACTTGGAGCAGAATGACATGGGGATGCCACCATGGATCTTCCCCGAGCCGAGGCGCCGGGCTGGAGCGCGGTGGGCTGGGGCAGAGAGAGGAAGAGGAGCTCCCCCCCTCCTTTCTCTCCACGCACAATTTCCTTCCAGTTTAAGACGCACAAATCGCTCGTGTGCGAGCTGCGTTTTTTCCTCTCTCTCTCCCTTCTTAAAAAGCAACTTGCAAAGCAGAGGAATCGTTTTGCATGTGGCAAATTAGAAGGCAAGTGCGATTCACAAGTTGGGTGGAAAAGAGTGCTCCAGTTCTTGCTGGGGTTAGAAGAGCCACTCCGAGTGAGCGTGAGGATTTTTTTTTCCTTCTTCTTCTTTTTCTTTCTTTTTTTTTATTTTTTTTTCTTTAAGAAGGGGGAGAATGAATTTTTTTTCCCTTCCTAAAGCAACTACCACGCAACCATGCTCGAGTTATTTTGGCAACCCATCTGCAATCAGCTCCGTTGCAACCGAGCTGGAAGATAATTAATAAATTGTCACTTATCTGCGAGCCTCCCCAGCATGTATAAATTAATAGCCAACCCATTAATTAGGACAGTGTATTAATGTTAATTAAACTAAGTTTAATTCCACCCCTCTCAGGGTAGCTGGTGATTAGCCTTAAATAAACGCGGAGGGAGTCGAGTCCGGGGCTGGGTTTTTGCTGCTTTTTAAAAAATAAATTAATAAATAAATGAAAAAATATTTAAAAATAAATTAAAACACGGCCCCGTGCGCTGCGAGCGGGAGGTTTGCAAACTGTCACCCCGAAAGGTGCCCGCTTCCCGGGGGGGGGGCAGCCGAGCAGCTCCCCCTTATGGCCCTGGTCGTGCCCCCCCCCTTCCCCCTCCATCCTCCCTCTTCCTCAAAATAGGAGACTCTACATTACAGCGCCTGGATGCTGGGGGTCCTTCCCTTCCTCTCTCTAATTAAAACGACTTGATGCGGGAGGGGAGGATTTGCAGAACCCTCAGATGCGAGGACGCGGGCATTGAGAAAGCCCCGTGTCCACCTGGTTTGGGGGGCCCGGCCGCGGCGGCAGCACCCCCCTTGGCCCCCATTAGCCGCCCGTCCCTCGCCGGGGCTATTCAGCCAGACCAATTTCCCCCCAGCGATTCAGGGCGCTCAGTTCTCTTTCACTTGTAGCCACTATAGCGCTGCGTGGAACCTGGTTTTGTGTGTTTCTAAAATAAAGGGGAGGATTAGCCGGGGGAGGGGGCGGGGGAGCGGGAGCGAAGGGTTTAGATTGAGCCTGGCCAGAGGTAAAGCAAAGCAATGAAAAGGCCCCTATATCTATCTATCTATCTGTCTATCTATCTATCTATCTATATTTATTATTACTTTTCCCACCTCCCTCGCACGCCTAAGAAAGTTTGGAGGAATTGGGGGGTTCTGACGAGCCTCCCCGGCGGGGCAGCTCGCCGGCGGCTGTTTGCAGACAGGCTTTTTCACCTGCGAACCACAGCACGCTCCAGAGACAAACTTTGTAAGCGGCGGCAGCAGCCCCCGGCTGGCGGAGGGGAGCGCCCTGCCCCGGGGGCTCCTCGGGAACGTGAGGGGGGACACCCCGCCTCGGGAATAGGGGTCTTCCCGTCTGGAGCATCAGGAGTTGTTGTCTTGTCCCCCAGCCCTGCTTGCTGCTGTCCTCCCGGTCTCCTCCGATGGGTCCCGCGTTTTAAGGGGGGAGAAGGTGAGATGAAACCGCGGAGAGCGGTATGCACCGGCACAAACCGGTGCTTGGACTGCGGGAGAGCCCCGGGGAGCCGAGCAGAGAGCCTCTACCCGGCAGCGAGCAGGGGGCAGGCATCGGCTGGGCTCCGCTCGCTCCCGGGGCTCGCCGGCTTTAGCAAAGTATTTAATTAGCCTCCACAAACTTCTTTTCCTCGCCTGCAGATTATACTGAGTGGAGGGTTGGGAACTATTTTACACCTTGCCACTCACATGTTAATTAATCTCTATCTAACCCTAATTGCAGTTTATTCAAGCACCGCTCAAACAGCTCACCCACACAATAAACACTGGGGCTGCTTTTATCCATATTACTCCCCGCTCACACGTTGAGTAATTAACTCCAGTACCAACTAATAGTGCAAACAAATATTTTCTGTAAACGAGATGATTTCGGGCAGGATAAAAGAGGGCTGCGGAGCCGGGGCCGGGACCTCGCTGCCAGCTTCCCCTTGCCGGGCTGTTCTCCGGCCCGGGTCTCTCCCTCTTTCCCTTCCCCGGCCGAAGGCGCGGCAGCCGCCGGCTCCCCGCTCCGCACCGAGCAAGTCGGCGGGTCCCGCAGGCCTCGGGACTCCCGGGGGAGAGGAGAAGCGGGGACCCCGTGTAGCAGCCCCGGGGCCGCGGCCCGAAGCAGTCCCGGTGGAGGGTGAGGAGCCGGGGTACCGCACTCCCTGCGCATCAGCTCTTGGGGATCCCAGCTCAAACCCTCGCATCGGAGCTCAGTATTTTAATTGAAACCGCAGGTTTAGGCGCAGCTGGAGGCTGTCTCTATCAATTCCACTGCTGCTCTTCCGGCAAGCCTATTACAAGTGACTGACTTTGGGACAGCTGCCCCAGCCCCGCCGTGCCTAAGCCCCACTCTGTGCCCTAAGCCCGGCTTTGGGGGGCAGGAGCGGCCGCACGTCGGGCGGGCTGAGGGGTCCTATCCCAGCGCCGCTCTCTGCCTTCCTGTGGGGTTTTAATCCTTCACCCGGGGTTTGGCGGGGCGAAATGGTTTGCGGATTTTCTCCCTGGAAGGCGCTCACCGCGAAGCCTCTCACAACGCAAACGCGATCGTCCCCCACGTTATTTTTGCGCCTCTGACATCCCCGATAAACGGTTGCCGGTGCCCGCCCGGCCCCGCGAAACAGCCCAGGCGCATCCCAGGGCTCGCTGGGCGCCCGGCCCCGTTAGCTGCGGCCACGCTGCCCCGGCCCCAAACGCTCCCCAGCCGCTGACATCGAAAACCAGTGGGGCTTTCCCTTTCGGCCCCCGACAACCAAACCCGTCCGATGAGGGGCTCCCCGGGACCGCGTTCCGCCTGGGCCCCGTCCCGGCGGGGGGCGCAGGGGCCCACAGGCCCGGCCGTGCTCTCGCCCGTCCGGCCGCCCCGCCGGGGCAGTCGGCGCTGAGCATTTATGGTCCACTGGAAGATAACTTAGGATACTCCTGGTTATTTAACTTGGCAGCTGCTTAAACTCCACAGTGGAAGCTGCCGAAAGTTATTAGCATTATGCTCCGATCTCTCTGAAATGGTGGCTTTGATTTCTAGGCTGCTTTGCTTTGTATATGTGATTTTAAAGTACTTTTATTATTATTTATTTTCAACAGCAGGAGGTGATGGACGACCGGGTGAGCCACCAGTCCAGCCAATTAGGATGGGGCTGCCTTTTTGAACTTGGGGAGCAGCTGCTGATGTGGCTTTGTAGCTGGTGTGAGGTGAAGCAGAGGGGCCAGTGGAGGAGAGCTGGACTGCGGTGATGGCCAGGCTCGGGCTCCACCGTGCTGAGTTTGGTTCTGGCTCACTGCAGGTCAGCAATTAGTGGCCCTAAAGGGCAACCCAGGAATGGCCCCAACGTGTTTGGGTGGAGTTCAGTTTGCAGGGATCAGAGGCACTTTATGGACAAATCAGTGAGCAACGAATGGGGAAATTAGGATAGCAGTTTGGTGCTGGGGTGAAGAGGGGTTTGTTACCCGTCTGACTGCTTCCAGTTACCCGTTTGAAACCATGGTATTGTATAATGGGAGCAGTACCCACACCTCAGCCAACACGGGCAGGACCCTTAGGGGCGGTGAGGTGACCTCCCTCTGCTGCTGTGTCACCCACTGGAGACAGCCATGACTGCATGGGACAGGAGCAATGCATGGTGAAGCCACCTTGGCATTGGGTCCCTCCAAGCTGTTGTTTTCAGCCCTTTCACTGAGTTACGCATTATAGCATCTATGCGGGCAGATAGTCCTCATTTATATTATTTGGCGTATGAAGCACTACTGAGGAGCTGGGGTTTGGAGCACTGCTTGAGTCCCACAGCAAATGTGGTCAGTGGGATTTTGGAAGCACCGTGGCCTAGGGTGGAGAGAGTGGAGAGAGAGACATCATGGTCCTTGCATGTCTGCGCTGACTTTGAAGGGCTAACAGTGCCGTTTTTAACCTGATTTGAAGAGCAGATTTCTGACCTGCTCCTAAAGCTATTTGAAACCCGGCCCCACTGCAGAGCAAGCGGCAGGGCACCGTGGCAGGAGCTGCACAGAGTGCCTCGATGGCAATCAAACTGGCTTATGTAATTCTAAAAATGGCAACTCCTTACTTGCCACATTGCTTTCTGTTCTATGCGGAGAGTCCTGCAGAGCTGCCAAACAGAAGCAATTGAATGAACTCTTTTCCCGGCTCATTCCTCCTTCCGCAGCTCGGAGAAAGTGAGCCAGAGCCTATTCTAGTTTGCCTGTCAACAGGAATGGTAACTAACAGCTCGATCCCAGCCAGGCTTTATGCCCCAAAAACACTGCCTGCCTGTGAGGAGTGGAGAGAGAGACATCATGGGTGAAGTCTAGCTCCTGGTGCGAGACTGGTCTGGCCCAGGAGGCATCAAGGAGTTGGCAGAGTACACATCATGCCCAAAGGCAAGCAGGAGATTGTTGAAGGGGTGAGCTGCTGTTTGTCCTTCTTGTGGGAAATAGTCCTTCTTTGCGTTGCAGTGATGGAGCGATGCTGCATTTAATTTCTGAATGCTGCAACCGAAAGATGTCCCTTCCTAATGTTTGGAAGTGTGGTACTTTTTTGTTTTGAAAGAGTGGGAGCTTTTACATTTTTCTGGGTTTTTTGTGTTTTTTTTTCCCCTTATTTTCTATTTAGGAGAAAAGGTGGGAGGAAGTAGAGAAGGAGAATATAATGGGGGGATGGCCTTCTTCTCACTTTCCTACTGAAAACGTTTCAGAAAAAGGAGCAAAAAGCAGTGAGAATGAGTAGAAGCCCACTTCAGTTTTGTGTTCCTATTCCTTCCCTTTTTTTTTTGCCTCAAAGAAGGATGGCCAAAAAAAAAAAGTGGGACAAACTCCACGTGTTTTGAATTATGCTCCCTTTAATGAGATAGAAAACCATCACATTTTCAAAATAACTTACTTTTTCAATGGAAAAATACCTCAAATAAAGTAAGAGTCCTTCCAAAGCTGATCTTTCCACCGTCTCTTTTCAACTCACTTCCCACTCTGCGTTGACCAGTCTTTCCGCCTGTGCCACATATTGTGTTGAGATCTGTATTCGCCTGTGTTTGACCTCTTGTCGCAGATGTCCCCATCCGCTGCAGAGCAGGACTCCATGGGCTGTGAGGTCCCGAGGGGACAGTGACAGCAGCACGTTGCCTCCTTCCCCCAGAGCACGTGGTGCCAGGTGGGTTGCAGCATCCCTGTCCCTGGTGGTGGTGGCTAAGTTGAAGAGAACCTGGCAGGACTCCCAGATTGGCTGGTGAACCTGCTGCTGTGCCACTTGGGCACAAGAAAAGTGCTGATTTCACTGCAGAAGACATGAGGTAGAAGAACCACTAAAAATCCCTCCCAACAATCAGAGCCCAAACTAAAAATCCAGACCTTGTTATTGCCAGAAAAAACTTGAACGCACAACCCAAGTATTCCCTGAATGTTCAAGAACACCCACAAATTCTGTAAAAATAGCTGATAATTTATTTATTTGATTTATTTATGAGCCTGGCTTGTGATTTTGGGGTGGTGGTGGGGCTGCAGTTAGTGGTGCGGATGAAAAACTGATTTAGAGACAATCCCAGGGTTTGAGGAGCAGGGTTTAGGCTCTTCCTCACAGAACACAGAGCACTGCAGAACCCACTAAGGTGTCTCAGACCTCTTGGGTGAGGAAGACCCCACTGCAGTAACCATTTATCCCTGGGGATACAGGCATTTGGCCTCATAGTCTATGGATGAGGCTGGTGTCCTGTGGCCATGGCCAGTATGTGTCCGAGGGACTGGCTTATCTTTTTCAACCTGGGTTGATCAAGGGTAGATCTATTGTGGTGAGTGTTAGCTGCCCTCATCCTTCCCATCCCTATTGGGCTGTGCTATTGGGTGATCCCCCAGAACTGGTGAACCTGATTATGGGACATATTCTTGTCCCTTATGTGAGAATCTAAGGGGTGCTGCCTCTCTCTGATGTCCATAACAAAACCAAACCATCAGTCTTTGCTGCTTTACCTGGCTAGAAAAAAAAAGCCCCTTCCCAGTTCCCAGAGTTCACCACCACATTCACTTCAAGCCTTTGAGCTATTTCTCTCTTCCTTTCT